TTCTTGTTTCAAGTTTTCAAGTATAAGTAAGCACCAGTTTTTCAAAAAACTCGGTTTTTCATTATGCCACATTACGATCCCCCTTAAATTTCATCCGATCGCGTTCAAAATTTTACCAGAGGTACTCAAAATCATTCAGCAGAGTTATTTTTCGGAAAATTTTTCAGGCCTTTCCTGGTCAAGTTATAGAAAAAATACTGAAAAACGTCTCAAAAACCAAGTTTTTCAATTTTGAAAACCCTATAACTAGGTAAAGAAAAGTCTACAATAAAATTCCAAAAAAATAGCTCTGCAATAGTGAGTGTCTTGAGTGCCTCTGGTAAACTTTTGAATGCGATCAGATGAAGAGATTTGTTCTGTATCTTTCATCAAATGAAACAGTAAAGATAGACAAGAAAAGGCAGGTGACAAAAGTGTTTGCAATCCGTCCCAGTGTATCCTGATTTCTTTCTCGGTTCACAGAAGAGAAACAGGAACTACGATATGAGCTAGTATGAACTAGATCGAAATCGATATGAACGTTCGTTTAGTAGGTTTTTGAAGTATCGTTCTATCACCCGTTCGTTCGCTGTTCAGCATGAGCGGATAAAATAGAGTATTTTCTGACATTCCGAAGTAGGTTGGAGGAATTTTGACTGTATTATGAATTATTTAATTTTTCATGAAAATAATCAAAAATGGGTTATTTCATTAGTATAGGTTTTCATTCGGCTCTTGCATTTTGCTTTGAAAACTACCGTTGCCACGAGATTCAGCATAGTCAATAATCTATGTTCATTCCTGACAGTACCAAACCTAACGGCATAAGAATAGTAAGGCTTAAGGAAAAACGTCCATAACTCCCGAACCATGGATTTCTGAGATGTGGCTTGGATCCAGTTTCGTAGAGGACTGTTCGGACTATATATCTTTGGAAAAAAATTAACTCCAATATTTAGTTCGATAGTTGCAAAGCTCCTAGGAGGTTTCTAGAAAACTCTTAGAAAACCTTAAGTTACTGAGATATAATTTTGGCAACCTACATTTGAACACATTGTTTAGCGAGTTCAAAACAAAAAACAAAAAAATGTTAATCTTCCAGCTCTTGCTACAAGAGTGGATCTTCGGAAAACCTTGGTCTTTCAGCGAAAAACATCTGGTCTTCAAAAATAAAAATTTTTCTATTATTACAATGTGATCTATTCGATGAGTGTACTTCGATATGGATTATTTGCGGATGGGATTAATGCTAGCCTTCTTTTGACTTGTGGAGTAATAGAATTATAAATTTTAATTTGTTGAATAAAATTATTATTATCTTTAATACGTGTCATTCATGAGATTTTCTCGTATTCATTCTTTAATTTCGTTCAGATACGAATAAAATTCGGGATTCTTAATTTCCTATTTTATATCAGTCTGTTTGACTACTCGTGTTTGTTCGTTTTTTTTTCTTCTTCTTAGATTTTTCGGTCTTACCTCACCGTATTTTCCTTTTATCTTACTAACTAATCCACGAAGAAAAACTAATTCAGAGAATGTATGAGAGAAAAGGTAGATAAAGTAATTTGCAGACTTTCTCGAGTTACAGTACCAAATATTATGCTACGCACTGGGTCTCCTGTACTAGATCTAAGGTTGAATCTACTGGAGTCCTGCTCAAAGTCCTGTCTGCTAGGAAAGGTAGCTAACACTCAGAATATGTGACGATCTAACCTGCAAATAATTTTAGAAATCAATAAATGAGAAGAACACAGATACGAAATGAATAACACGCACACACATGCAAAGCGATAATAATAACAGATAGATCAGATAAGATAAGAAGATAGACAGCACACACACTAATACCCAAAAGACGAGCAAAGGAGCACAGGAAAGGATGACATACAGAAAATGACTAATCAGAATAAAGAGGAAGAAGAGGTCGATAGCGACGAAGTGCACTATCTTTTTCTTTTCCTTCATATATAGATGAAACCGTGTTCGTAAGAATTCACTAACGTACGCTATGACTTTTAGAGGAAAAGCCCCACAAGCAGAAGTCTCAGCAACGTTACGAAAAAAAAAGAACTGTCATAGGCTGATTATCACTTTGGAGCTTTCCGTGTAAAAGTCATAACTCAATGAAAAAATGTTGTGGAGCGCCGCGGAAGGTCTCATTTTGAAGAGAAGACTTTTCTCTATCTTACGGAATGATGGAAGAAATGCTTGCATTGGGTTTTGAAAAAGCAGGATTTTAGAGATCCTGGATTTCGAGAAAACCGTTTTTTCTAACAGGTTAAACTTGAGTTGAAATTTTTCGAATAATACATATACATACATCGAAGTCAGCGCTGTACGAACCTATCCTCAGATTTATTGTAGCTGCTAGGGTTCACGAGAAAGAACAAAAACAAGTTTGTCCCTAAACTTTTTGCCTCCACTTTACATTTCTAAGAACTGAACCTTTGTCACAATGTAGCCTACAGTCCCTCGAATAGTTTTTGTTCCAAGAGTATAGCTTCATTTCGTTATCAGAGTAGCAATAAAGTCGATCTAATGAAGCCTCTGTGTTTTCTATGCAAATCAATGGATCCGTTCGAATTAGGGGAAAAAAATACATTGCCGTTCGAATTAGGAGCATTGCACTTAATTTGAACGGACCGTTCCTGATTCATTCTACCGGTCATAACTCATTCATTTTTGGGATTAATTAAAAGTTTTTTTAACCATCATGTTCAGCAGAAATGTAAAAAGTTATCTACTTTCTTAAGAAACAACCTCACAATAATCAAAAGAAGTCAATTTTTCAAAAGTCCGTTCGAATCAGGGGATTTTACTCTATAGTGACCCCCTTATATTAAGTGATAGATGCTGGTACGTAGCAGCCTAAAAAACTAGTTTCGCGGACGTACGTGCAGACATTTGTGTATTGTCCTGTTGCGAACGCCGACCGAAGAGAGGCGAGAGCATTGGCTTTGACACATAGGCCACGTTCACAGTACAAGAGTTAAATGGGCTAAGACGAAGCTGATTGGTCAGAAAGTTAGCTCTGAATTAAATGCTTTTTTGGACATCATTTAACTGTAACTCTCTGGTCATAAATGAGCTCATTGACCAATAATATGGTTCCGTTAAACAACGAAGGCAGCGCCAGTTCTGTGGGAAAAAAAACACCTGAGTCTCTACTCAACTTTGCTGTTTGAGCTTAGAAAGTCAGCTGTAGAGCGTAAATTCAAACCGATAAGTCGAAATATAAAATCTGATTGGTGTATTAAAGGTTTAGATGAGAACGGTCTCGAAGTTAACTTCGAGTTAACTCTGAGAAATTTGTAGTGTGAATGTAGCCATAGTCATCGAAGGTCGATATAAGTTCCTCAAGTCACGGGACCGAGCGAATGCAGACGACTCGACTACGGGAAAGCAGAATATGGCTGTGAGCTCGATTCTGTCAACCGAAGCCTTCATTGCAACTTGATAGGATAAAAATGGTATTCCTTGAGTATACAGGAAGAGTCTTCTCGAGTTAAAATCTCTTTATGTTTGTATGTGTGTCCGCAGCCTAGGTACTAGCGACAGACAAATTATTAGCAGATAGATGGACACACTTATCTGTATCCTAACACACGAGACTAATGAGCACATTGGGTATTGTGTGTCCAGGGGACTTCTGAGCAACGAAAGGAAAATGAGGGTAAGTGTAGGGAAACTGGCAAATTTTGTTGGAGCATCTATAGTAATAATGAAGCGGGACAAGCAGTGGTGCAAAAAGTAGCTCCAATCACTTAATCGTAAATACGGCTTTTTCCTTTCCTTTCGAAATCTGACACGGAATTAGTTTTGGTGCTGCTGATCTAACCTTAGTATTGGTCTTCGAAATGAGAGGGATTACGTGAGCTAGGGCAAGCATCGTGTCTGTGAGGTGTGTGACGAAAATAGCTCCAGCTCATGGTAAGTGATCATTAAGAAAAATTGTTTCGGTGAGAACCAAGTTCGGCCAGCTAGAGAATGCACGTTGAAGCAAGCGATTGGCATCGGCGGTTCCTTTCCAGTCAAGGGATAAGTGAATCAGCATGATGGACGCTACTTGTTTCTTTAATGTGTCTTCGAATAGACGAAAGGAAAAAAGAAACAAATATGAAATGAATGAAAATGACACTTTCGCCTTAACATTTTTTTTCGTCAGAACACATGTCTTGCTATATATCAAACGTAATTTTACATAATTAAGATGATTATAGATAATTACATCTGCGTTATTCGGCAATGCATGACATCTACAGATGAGATGAAAGAATAACGTTATATTTCTTCGTTCTTTTTGTCTTGTGTCTAGTTATTATAGTTTTCCTTCGCTGTTACGTTTAATATATATATAGCAAGACATGTGTTCTCACGAAAAAAAATGTTGAGGCGAAAGTGTCACTTTCATTCATTTCATATTTGTTTCTTTTTTCCTTTTGTCTATTCGTAAGACACATTAAAGAAATAAATGAAAGTTTCATGTGAGGCAAAGAGAAGCAAGCAAACAGCAAAGAAATTACAGATTTCACAAAATTTGTTTTAAAAAAATGCTTTTTTCTTTAGACATTCTGATAACCACCTGACATTTTCTTTCTGCTGGTCTATGGGTACATCATCATTGTCTCACATCTCATGCTTTTTATCTTCTCCGGAGTTGGCACAAAGACAAATTTCAGTCAACTTTTCGGTCTGCTGTAACGTGATCCTTTGGTTTAAATTTTGAACATAAATCACAGATTTGAGCTTTCACAAGTTGCACTATGCTTATGATAAGCGAAATATGGTCAAGACAAGCCGGTACCAACCGGTAAACCGGTACCGGTATCACATTTTTGATACCGGTTACACCCCTGATGAGCGATATTTTTCTACCTATCTGAGGTTTCTTTAAGCTATTATACTGTTGGAATAAAAACATCAAGTTATTGAACAAAATGTAAGAACATGCTGGTACTGTTTTCCTGTAGATTTTAACTCCTTAATCATATTCGTGGTGTGTTTTAGCCTCATTCTTGATGAGCACTATAGATGACGCCGAGCACCGTGAAAAAAGCCTCGAGAAAAAAACGATTACCACTTCAGATGATTTATTACAAGATAATCAAAGTAAATTCGCGGCTGTTGAGCAGTCACCGTTCGAAGAAGTAGCTGCAGCTGTACCAAATACCGATGATGTGACAATGATGGCGAATACATTTAGAACTTGGTTTATCGGCATTCTGTTTATTGTTCTATTAACCTGTGTGAATCAGTTTTTCTTCTTTCGAACAACTCCACTAGTTGTAAGCGGGGTCATTGTACAGATTTTAAGCATGCCATTAGGTTTATTTATGGCCAAAGTCTTACCAACAAAAGCTGTTTACATTGGGAAATGGCATT